GACGCGGGGTCCACATGCTGGCACGGGCGCGGGGTCCACATGCTGACACGGACGCGGGGTCCACATGCTGACACGGGCGCGTGGGGTCCACATGCTGACACGGGCGCGTGGGGTCCACATGCTGACACGGGCGCGTGGGGCCCACAATGCTGGGGCAGAAACCCCAGGCTCGACCTCGTTTCAGAGGCTGGCACACCTGGCACAGTGCCCGCCTTGCGAGAACAAAGCGCAAGCTCAAACCATAGTGCTGCCCCTTCTTAAGTCCTTCATGGCTGCCACAAATCTAGCAAGCAGAAAGCCATCCACAGAGGCTGAGCGGAGGTCTGTGAGGCCTGCCATGCCCCCCTCTTTCTGCAGATAGGTCTCTCACCACCCCCACCGCCATGTCTGACCCCTCCCCCCCGGGAGCTGCCCCTGCCCCTGCACCCTGTGAGTAAGGCCCCTCTTTTCCTCTTTTCCTTCTTTTCTGGAATTCCACTGTACTTGTAGGATTCCAGCATTTGATGAGTAAAACATGAATAAATAACGCGTTGCCCTGTTTGCTTTCCTGCTGGACAGTTATTCAATGAGGCCTTTTTGGTTTATTTCTTCTTTAATATTTCTCATTGTAGAAGATGGTCCCTTTGTAGCCGCTAAGTTTTTGTTTTTCCTCTTGTCGTTGCTTTGGTATAGTGGTTATCGCACCATTATGCTATGTACCCTGGAACAGTAAAAATGAGAGCATGTATTGAGAAAAAGTGAGGGAAGAGAGACACAACTAGTTCCTGTGTAAAGAAGAACACTAAATGTTTTCTTGAACCCTACTTAAGAACAGGTTTTGCAGCACAGGTGTTCTGTAGGTAAAGCTCTCCCAACAGAGGATTGATGCTGGCGCTGTGCTGGTGAACTTCACCTTCAGTGCAGGGATGACAGGTGTCCCCTGGGGAGGGGGCTTGGGAGTGCTTCAGAGTGGGCGGGTGCAAAGCCACGGAGGGCCTGGAGGGAAGCTGGGAAGACCTCACAAGTGTTGCAGCATACTTCCTGCTGGTGCGTGTTTGGAGGCTAAAGAGTGCTCTGGGAATTGTATTTCTTCAGCAAAACTTGTAACAGGGAGATTTGATACTCAGTTTCTCAAACAGTAAGGAAACTTTCTTTACCATGGGCAGGCTCTGAGTTAGCAGGAGTGCAGAGTGAATCTACCCCTGGACATGGCGTAGCAGCCCCGCCCCCTCTTCACCTGCCCGTCGGGGAGGATCCAGAGTAGGGGAGGATCTGGAGTCGCTCTGGACCTGGGAACTTCCTCGGCTGTCGCTCACACCTCTGCCCACACCCACATCACGGGCACCACTAGTGGAGGAGTGCTGAGCAGTGTTCACAACCTGCATAGCCTTTTGTCCAAGTGAAAAGTTTCTTATTTGAGAGCCAGAAATTGATATTGATTAAGCAGGAACCTACCCGACAGCATCCATTACTATTATTGTCACCAGTGTCAATTATCTGGCACATGTCTCCCGCACTCACTGTCATTTGTGATAAAGGGTAGCACCGGCTCCATTCGGATCACACTCCTACTGTCCTTGCTTTCCCGCTGATATTCATAAATTAAATTTTTTAAAAATCTGTGAGAAATGTAGCTATACCATCATCATCTGCATAGGACACACTCGAGTACAGTCAGAGGATTACTCATGGAAAAAGTATTGATGGTGACAAAAGTAAGATGCCACCACTGTGGCCTCCTGCATCCACTCTGCTTGTTAATCACCTTCTCAGACTGCACGCCACACTTCCAAGGAATCAACCCAACAGCCATCGGCAGCTGGCTGCATGAATGTCAGTATTCTGAAGTCGGTTGTTAAGGCAAGTGAGCAAAACAAGATTTACATATCCAGCCACATTTAGTGTACTTCTTTACACAGGAGCTACATGTCTGTCCTCCCTCATTTTTCTCAATACATGCTCTCATTTTCACTCTTCCAGGTATACAGTGTCTATACCAAAGCAACAATGAGAAAAAAAACAAAATTTCCATAATCTCTGGAAGGAGGAGAGGAAGACATATCACCATGCATTTTTCCTAGATAATTTACATGTAGATACCTTGAGCCACTATGGATCAGCAGGACAGTCATTTAAGTTAGGGCATGCATTATAAACTATATCCGGAAAGTAACGATTCCACATTTTTCTGTTCTTTCCTTTGGATTTCTGAGAGATATTGTGATAAGTTCATGTGTTTTGCTACCAGTCAAATGACAAAGTACTCACCAAAACCCCACAGGGTTACCTGACTCACAGGAACTCACCCACCAACACCCCACAGGGTTACCTGACTCACAGGAACTCACCAACACCCCACAGGGTTACCTGACTCACAGGAACTCACCAACACCCCACAGGGTTACCTGACTCACAGAAACTCAACAACACCCCACAGGGCTACCTGACTCACAGAAACTCACCCACCAACACCCCACAGGGCTACCTGACTCACAGAAACTCACCAACACCCCACAGGGCTACCTGACTCACAGGAACTCACTCACCAACACCCCACAGGGTTACCAGACTCGAATAGTGGGTATGGGATACAGCTCACTGGTGGAGCATGTGTTCATGCATAGGCTTCTGTGCTTGATCTCCCTCATTAGTTTTAACAAATGAATAAAAAAGCTAGGTGCTGGTGGCTTTCATCTAATCTTCAGAGACTGAGATCCAGAGGACTGAGGATCCCAGGCCTTCACCCTCTCCTGCCTTTGTAACAGTGCTGCCCACATCATCAGATGGTACCATTTGGCATTTAATATTTAGCCACTTTCTTGCAGTACTCTTATCCATAATAGGAATTGGCTCAGGTTCACACTATTTCATTACAACAGAAACAAAGCCGTTAGCAAATCTTGAAGATTCAGACATTAGATAATAATTAACACCTAACTTTAAAGAGCTTTATGAGGTATAAACACTTTCAGATCTCTAAGAATAAAAATCCATGTGCTAACTTTGACTTCTTTAAAGTACATGAACCTTCTCACTTAAATGGCATCTAGTTTTCCTACAAACAGTTCACGTTCTTTGTATCATACCTATTCATTGAACATCACTCATGTCAAATATTGTCAATAATATAAAGTGAATAAAGTTGAAACCAAAATCCTATGCAAGAGACTTACATTCTACGAGTTGAAAACAGCCACAAAATGCGTGTACGAATGTGTATCATACGGTTACGTGGTACACGTGTGATTTTGGTGGGTGCATGCTAAGATGTGTGAATGTTCCAGGCATGCAAAGGAAGTCTCGCCAGAGGCATCTGAGCGACCTCTGACACAGCGGGAGAATCGCGCCTGGGGTGCCAATGGAAGGTCACTGACAATGGCACGGTGGGGGTCCGTTCTCCCAGAGCATCTCAGAAGCCTACCTGCCCTGCATCGAAGGGAGGAAGGGCGCGGAAGAAGGGTGGAGAATTTCCCCTTGTTCTAAATAAAGGGCTTCCGAGGCGCTTGGTGGGTTCTGAGTACAGGACTGAGATGATTTAACTCACATCTACAAACGGGCCTTGACAACCACGGGGTAGATACCGGTAGAACACTACAGCCATGTACGTGAGAATGGTGATCGCTTTAGCCGTAGTTGTAGCAGCAGAAATGTTCAGACATGCTCAGATTCTGAATGTATTTTCCAAGTACAAAGGGAAAAAAATCTGTTAGAACTGAACATTAAGTGTGAGAGAAAGGAGAAGATCTGTGGTTTGGGCATGAGTTGCTCCCACTGATAAAAAGGAGAAGATCACAGAAGGAGAAGGGCTGGCGGGGGAGAAGCGTTTTTATTTGTGTTGGATATGTTTAGTTTGATATCCAAATGGAAATGTAGCAAGACCAGGAGGGTGCCTAGGGCAGACATATAATCCAGAAGTCACCAGAGTGGAAAAGAGCACAAACCCTAGCATGAGGTGAATTGCATCAGGGGATGAATGGCAAAGGAAGATGTCTGCCACCCAGACCCGGTGCCCCCAGAGACCCCTGCGCTGGCGGGCAAGCCAGGGAGGGGCTTGCGGGATGAGGGGTTGCCTGCGGTGCGAGGCCCAGCTCCGCCCTCTGCAGCCTCGGTGGTGCGGTGGTGCGTGGCCCTCCTCAGGAGAAGGGAGGGGCGCCCTGCCCAAGAAATGCTCTTTAAATTCATGCAGAGCAAACTGTGGTGGTAGGTGAGGGAGGGCTTTGTTAGGCCAGAGGTCAATGTTGGTACCAACAGCAATGGGCCTTCGAGAGGGGTGCTGTTAAAGAAACTAGGGCAGAGGAGGGCTAGGAAAGGGAGGGCAGATCCTTGTCAGTACTTACTGAATTGTGGAAGTATTGGTAAAACGCCTAGAAGAGATAATGTTACCCCGTTGTGAGCACACAGACATGCTGGGAAGGTGCTCCAGTGTTTTTGTTTGTTTTGTTTTGTTCATTTTGTTTTTGTCAGTCATGGGGCCTGAACTCTGGGCCTGGGCGCTGTCCCTCAGCTCTTCAGCTCAAGGCTAGCGCTCTGCCACTTGAGCCACAGCACCACTTCCGGCTTTTTTTCTTTTTGCTTATGTGGTGCTGAGGAATCGAACCCAGGGCCTCAGGCATGCAAGGCAAGCGCTCTACCACTGAGCCACCTTCCCAGCCCTCCAGTGTTTCTTTTACTTCTTTTTTGGTGCTAAGGTTGAACTCAAGACTCAGGCTGTCTAAGCATTGCACTATCACTTGAGCTGTGCTTCAGCCCCTCTTAGCACTGGTTATGTTTGTGACAGAGTCGTATTTAATGCCCAAGCCACCTGGGCTGCCATCCTACTTGTACTGAGGTACCATGGAACGTTTCATGCCGCTCTTGCCAGTAGCCTGCACTTCGATCACTGAGAGTTTCTTCAGGGTTGCGTCTTGTACCGGAGGCTCCTGGGTATTCCTCAGCACACAGTTTGTCTTCAGATTCCCTGTGTTGTTTCTGGTTGCTTCTCCTGGCTTCAGTGACACTGACTGCTGTCTAATCTGTTGCAGCGTGGCTGAGTACTATGACTATGGTCACGGGGTGAGTGAGGACGTCTACGACAGCTATGGTAAGACCTCTTCTTTACCACACCGTGAGATCAGCCCGGCGATTACTTCTGGCTTTCTCCTCCCCATGTTCACAGAAGTCCAGGCTAAATTGATTTATGGAGTTCCAGGGTGAGGTTTGGCTTTCAGAGTCAGTGCCAGAAAATTGGGCAGGTCAATTTTGATCCAAACTTCAAAGGCTGTTAGTCGCGATCAGGGCTCCCGTCCGTGGCCCCACCAGGCAGCGGACCGCGCCCCCTGGAGTCTTTGTGCCGTGCATGACGCAGCAGGGCGGCCCTGGTTCCCTCTCCACTGTCACAGACGCCATCAGAGCAATACACATGTAAAATCTTTAGACTTATAGGGGAAGAAACTGTTATTCTAAAACAACTTTCTAATTATTTTTCCAGTGTGCATAGTTCTTACAAGTACCAAATAATACTTGGCTTGTAAAAATTAATAGCCAATAAGCACACTCTTCAATAGATTTTAAAAACTTCCTTAATTAAAATACCACTTAAAATGAATCATAATTTTATTCAGCAACGATTTGTTGAGTGTTTATGACATCATTCCGTGTCTGTATGATACGGTGCTATCAATAGCACCAGCAGTACCTGCTTCTTCAGAATGTGTGCAGTGTCATGATGATTGTTAAACGTGTACAGTTTGGAGGTTTTCGTCAAAATTATGCAAAGGCCTCGCTGTTGCTCTTCCCAGGAAACAGTGACAGTGTCGGTTGCCAGCGTGTTTGGGGCTCCACATAGTGAAGGGGTTGCTGTGTTGGGATGAAGAAAGGAAGGTGCAGTGGAGGGGGGGAGGAGAGCACCCTCCCCTCCCCATCACCAGAGCCCTAAGCCGAGGAGCGTGCGGAGGAGAAGAACAACCACCAGTAATGCCAGTCAGAGCTGTGACCACTCACGTTCTCATTCATTTCTTTATGATACATCAGACACAGAGCCTTTACCGTGTAGAAGGACAGCTATTTTTATCTTGTTGTCTGAGGCTGAGATCTGATCACATGGACACATACGGAGTGCCTGCTGAGCCTGAGCTCAGAGATGCCCACGAGGACTGGAGCTACACAGACAGACATCCTTGTCATGAGTCAGGACATGGGAGTGTGGGTCGGCGCAGAACGTCTGTCTAATATGTGCAGGATCCGAAGCTTGTTCTCCAGCACCAGAAAAGATATAACAAGCCTTAAGTCTACCTGCTTACTCTAATCCTCATTGCAGTCCTGTGGGGCAGGTGCACAAATTATCTTCCACAGTTTATAGATGAGGAACTGAGTGCTCTATACCTCTTGCTTCTGTTAAACACGTGAAAGAGCAAGAATATGAAATCAAAAGCGTCTGGAAAGAACAAGAGTTCTGCCTTGAGCTGAAGAGCTCAGGGACAGCGCCCAGGCCCAGAGTTCAAGCCCCACAGCCAACAAAAAAGAAAAGAAAAGAAAAAGAGAGGAATAAAGGGAGGGAGGGAGGAACAGAGGGAGGGAAGAAAGAAGGAAGAGAGGAAGGAAGGGAGAGAGGAGAATCTAAGCATTAGAGACTCTGGGTAAATATGACCAAATTTAAAAGAAAAACAGGTATTCTAAATTTATCATTTTTGTACAAAATTAGAAAACATTGTTCATTTCAGAAGTAATTATCCAGCAGCTACCCCATGTAAGCTAGTATACTTAATCAAGAAAATAAAATCTTACAGAGCTTACATCCCAGTGAGAAAATACATTATTATTTACAAATCACTTGTTTAAAATGCAATTTTGAGAGTCCAGTAGTAGTTATTTTACACTCAATAAATCATGCACTGAACTCAGTGGTGAGGCTGGTATCTGGCTGGTAATTTGCTATAAGAGATGAAACCTCTATTTCTCAATTATTTACATTTTAAAAGATTAATACTATGTGAGGTAATGGGGAAAGGCTATGTACGAAGGACTGGTTCTGGAGTCTTCTAACACAGAGGCAGTGGCCGGAGAGTGGAGTTGGTCTGTGTAACCCCCTAGCCCTCACATAATTCCTTCCGTGTGTCAGGTTCTGCTGACCTATCAATGTATGGAGAGAAACCATTCCTTTTGATTTAGAAGTCACAGCTTTCCATACACAAGATTTTGCATTGGGTCAAATTACAGTTTGCCAACAAGCAATGTCCTGCGCACGGAAAGCAGTCAATAAATCCTCTGCAATAACCTAATGAGGAAATGACTGGGCAAAGTAAGGAAGATAGTGCTTTTAGGCAGCAGTTTTCCGCTTCTCACTTTTACCTGTTTAGAACTGCATCTCATCTCATAGTCTTGAAAGATTAGGCACACACAGACACATATATTTGCAGATATATGTGTATATGTGTGTAAAAAGAAACAAGGGAGATTGCTTGGCATCATGCTTTTATTTAGCCTGTAAAGTCGGTTGCCGCTCTTTAAACACTATCGAGTGTGCCTAAGTTTACGTGCAAGCATCTGCCTCCTCATGTTAAAGGCATTCATTTTTGTTTCACAATGTTGATGTGTTAACGCTTTCTGCATTCTGATCCCAGGCTACTTCTCGATGTCACATGACAAGAGCTGTTTTTCAGGACAGGACTTAATGGCTGTCTTGGTTGGGGTTGGGGTAGGTGTTCTATGGTGGGGAGCAAGAGAATGTGAGAGAGATGTTGTGAGCAGTTTCAGCACACGTTGAGGTGGAGAAGCACGGAAAAGTGGAGTCAGGGCAGAGTCCAGGCAGAAGCTGCCCACAGGCCAGGGTGCTGGATGGCGCCCAGACCCCTGCCTCTTCCCAGAACCTCCTGGGCTTGAGGCCACCTCAGAAGGGGCCACAGTTCTGAGAGGCATGCCTGTGCTGGCCGCATCCCAGGTATTAGAAATCTAAGCATAGATCTGATTAACCCAAAGAGAGACTCCAGAACTTACATTTATACATTTTCCTATCATAGAATATAAAAGATAAAATTACTATGCCTTGAGAACGTGTAGAGTTAATATGTATTTCAGCTGTGATACAGCACTAACCATTCATAGCTCATTAGAAAGGGTTTTCTCTGAATTGCACAACATGAGGAAAAGTACTTGCATGGCATTTCTATTCTGAGAATTTTAATTTTTTTATTCTTATTGTGTACAGAGGGGTTACAATTACATGGGCAAGATAATGAGTACATTTCTTATCAAGCATTGTAGCCTCCTCCTTTGTTTCCCCTTCCCATCCATCCTCCCCCTGCCCCCCTGAGAATTTTAATATATATGATGTACAAGAATTAGTAAGAGCTCAAATGGCGCTGTGGTTCAAGTGGTAGAGCACCAGCCTTGAGCTGGAGAGCTGAGGGACAGGGCTCAGGCCCAGAGTTCAGGCCCCACGACCACCCAAAAATAAATTTAAAAAAAAAAGAGTAAGAGCTCAGCGTCACCCTCATGAAGACCAAGCACATTAGTCCACTTCATGGCTGTCGCATTTTGGCATTAGATGGTGTGTGATGTGAGGTGTAGGCAGCAGGTGATACGTGACGTGTTCTGTGATATCTAAGGAGGGATAATAAGATGCAAACACACGGAGCAGTGATTTGAGGACACTCCCGTCGAGTACAGATTCATGTTTTTATGAATTTTGTATGCTCTCCATACTGACCAGATACTGAATTCCAATAGGATGGAGTTGTAGTTACAAAGGGAATAGTTCAACCCTCAGTTCCGGGCTATCTCCTAGACTTTCTCAGATGTGTGAACAGACTCGTCCTGCATGCTTTCCCCTGCTCAGGTTGTAGAAAGAAATGTAGGCATTGGAAAAGAAGAAGCAGCATTCTCCAGCAAGAACACAGTGCCGTGCATTCAGACGAGTCGCAGACAGTTTAAACCGACCAGCATTCAGTTCTATCAAGAATAAAAACCCAGGTCTGCAGTCTGGCACATTGCTTGGACTGTTAGTGTAGTACGTTGTAATTCTGTTGGTTGATGGACCTTATCGCATGCATGATCTGAAGTGTACGCATGTGTATAATGACCAAGTCAGGCTAAGAATGTGTGTGCTGCATCCCGTGTTTGTAAAACTCACTTTGTTCGCAGTTTCTTGTCTGAGACCCCCAGGCCTGTCTCAGACAACTCCTCCTCAGCCTGGGCAGGGCCTGGGGTCACCGCCGTGGGAGTCATCGCACACTGCGTTCCAGCACCAGGCTGACGTTGTATCTGTCTCTTTTAGGCCCGTATTTTATTCTAGAAATAGTCAGTATGCTGACTTCAAGGAAAGCACATATACTTTTAGGCATCTTTACAATTATTTAATATTAAATATTAAACAATGCAGATATTATAATGTAATATATTATATGTAATATATTGATTTCTATTAAATAGGTAATTAGTATCAAATCAACTTTATTAAGGTATATGTAATATTACATTTATGATCATAAATTTATTTTCTTTAATGGTAAAATACATTTCTTTAATGATACATGAATGTTGATGAAAACTTCCTTATACAAAACATAGTTTATTATACATGTTGTTTTGCCTTTTTTGTAATTGTGAAGACAATGTACAGAGGAGTTACAGTTACGTGCGTCAGGTAATGAGAACATTTCCTGTTGAACCCCTCTATAATTTCCTTTTTTTACCTCTATAAAGGAATTTTTATAAACAAATTTATAAAATGTATTTAAACTAATTTATTTAACTAGTTTCTAAGCTAAACTTTTTAAAATAATTAAATAGATCTAGGCACCAGTGGCTTACACTGTGATCCTAACTACTTGGAACTGAGATCTGAGGATCACAGTCCAAAGTCAATCCAAGCAAGAAAGGCTGGAAGATTCTTTTTTTTGGGGGGGGGGCAGGGGTCCGGTCGTGGGGCCTGAACTCTGGGCCTGGGCACTGTCCCTCAGCTCGTCTGGAAGATTCTTATCTCCAGTTAAGCTCCAAAATGCCAGAAGTGGAGCTGTGATTCAAGTGATGGAGCACAACCTTGAGCAAAAGAAGCTCAGCACCAGGTGATAGAGCACAACCTTGAGCAAAAGAAGCTCAGCACCA